GTAATATTAATTCAATGTTAATACGACATCACTACGATGTGATTACGTGATAATATTTACATCGCATAATGATCGCTGCGATATCGCATAGATATCGAACTAATCAATGTCGAATAAATATAGTTACGACTAATTTAATGACGTCGAATCTATTTTTTATCAAAATATCGTAATGATATCGTAATGATATCATTGCAATATCTAATCAATATCGATTGTAAACTCCAAGTTTCAGCAAAGTATATAAAATAATAAAAATATAACAAATAAAGATTAATCTATAATTAATTCATTAATTGTATTTAATAAAAGCAAATAAGTACAATTTATTATATAAATTTTAACTACCTTTCAATATAACAATGTATTTGTTTCAATATTTGCTGGTGGACTATTCAAATAATTATCAAGTTCGTCAGATTGTACAAATTTGCGTTTTTGTATATATGATTTACAAGTACATTAGACGTATTAGGTGGATTGATAGTTATATATTTGAGCTGGCATATAATTTTTTTTCTATAATTCAGTAATTTGTTTTTTATATATTTCAATATAATCATCAAACCCATTTTCATTATAATATTCAATTTTATTTTTTGGATCTAAAACTGTTTAAATGATTTAAATATTTAATATAATTGTTATTTATTATAATATTATTAATATAAAAAATATTTAAACTCATATATATTATATAATATATACATACTAGTTGAAATTATATATACAAGTCCATCAGATGTTGGATAATAGCGTAATAGTTTTTCCTTTGCATTGTTAGCAGCTATAACAACATCTTCTGAAGGTTTTTTTTTGATCAATAAAATCCTCAATTATATCAAGTAAATAATTATAGATCGGAATTGTTTGACATAAGGTAAGGTGATTTGCTTCACTCATTGCAAGGGTTGCTGTTTGAAAACACTAACAATAAATTTAAATTTTATTAAATATATAATAAATTAATAATATATTAAATCATTAATAAAAAATTAAAAATAATGGAATTATATATATTTACATACTTCCATTAAACTTTCAACTTCCTGGATTCTATTCCAGTCTTCATCTGATAATAAATAAATTTTCAATTCATTATCTGCTGATGCCATATAATGTAATGGCTAATAATAATAATAAAAAAAAAAAATCACTATTAATTTAAAATGACAAAATCTAAGTAAAATTATTGACTTTACCTCACGTAAATATAATGCCCTATTCATTATCATGTAAGTAGAATTCCAGCGTGTTCTTATATCGGGTATTAATTCAAGATCTTTGATTTTTAAAACAGTACATTGCATACTGAAACGTTCCCGTCTTTGGGGTGAAGCTCTAATTTTAGTTACTAAGATTCTTAACTACATTTAATAAAATATAATTGATAAATATTGAAGTATTAATGTAAAATGTATTATATACAAATAATGAATTAAATGAAATTATAAACCTTACTTTCGCAATAACTCCAACAGGAACTTTGTTATTTAATACTTCTTCTTCACTATCAGGGCCTGTTCCTTTTAGGGACTTTAGAGCATCTTGAGCTGCTAAATTAATGATATGTGCAAAGCAGCGTACGCGTTGATGCTCAATATCAAATGTGACATTGTTTTCATTGCACATTTTCTTAAAATAATCAAAGAACGTATTCATGTTGGATGCATTGTCACTAGTAACACCTAATAGCTATAAAAAATAAAAAATTAATACAATATTATAAGTTTGTTATAATATGTTATATGTGAAAATACCAACTTTTGTTAAAAGTTTGTAGTTTTTCAATACTTGAAAGAACGCAATAGCTAAATTTTCCCTGGAATGGGGCCTTTTAAATGATAAAATTCAAGTGTAATTTTTTTAAGCTTCCAATTTTCACTAATCCAATGAGCTGTAATTCCAAGGAATGGAATCTGGTTTTTTGACGTCCACGCGTCAAGAGTAAATGAAATTTGCCCAGGCACATTTTGCAATTCCTCTAGTATAAAAGTTTGCTTATCATTGAATGCTTGGTGAATATCTTTGCATATGGTAACAGTGGATGGAATAGTGGCTTCACGATTGAGTCTTTTTATCATTAATTTAAAATGATCATCCTCTACAACGGTAAAAGGTTGATCATTTACAACCACCCATTTGATTAAATCATTACACCAATTATCTTGTGTAAATTTCTGTAATTAAATACATATATGGTTATTAATTATCTAAAACTAGTAATTAACGAAAAAATAATAATAAATTAATAATACGTACTAGTTCATCTGCTTGTTTTACGAACTTATCCATTGCTTCTACTACTACTTTCTTTTCACCAGAAATTAAATTACTATGTTTATTTCTAAGATGTTCTATAAGTGTAGAAGTTGAGCCATCTTTCGATGCTTTATAGGTTATACTAAAAAGAATAATCGAAAATAAGCTACTTTTTTAAATTTAAATTTACAATTATAATTATAAAAATCAAAAACATAAACTTTACCTGCAGTAGATACAAGAATAAGTATTATTTTGTTTATTTAAGGTAAAGTTCAAATGAGCAACAGATGTTTTTTTTTTATATCTTCCAATTATAATTTTTTGATTCTCATTGCCTAATTCATTATTTACTTGTTTAGGTTCAGTTTCATCACCTTCTATATCAAATCCATCTATATCGGTATTAATCACAGGTCGAACAGATGTCATTGTCACAAAATTTGCCTGGAATTTTTCTGGCAAATTGAGAATTATCCCGGTAAATTGGGGTAAATTGGGTTACAATTTTGGGATAATGGAGGACTTACAATTTGGCAAATTTTGTCAAAATGGCTGAATTCCTACAGAATTCCTAATTCAAATGTTGAGAAATTTTTCAGTAAATTATCATTAAATTGTGGGAAATTTTAGGCAAATCTTTAGTAATTTTATGCAAACGAAGTGCAAATTGTGGTGAATTTAGTTAAATTTTTAGTAATTTTATGCAAACGTAATGTAAATTGTGGTGAATTTAGTTAAATTTTTAGTAATTTTATGCAAACGTAATGTAAATTGTGGTGAATTTTAGGCAAATTTTTAGTAATTTTATGCAAACGAAGTGCAAATTGTGGTGAATTTAGTTAAATTTTTAGTAATTTTATGCAAACATAATGTAAATTGTGGTGAATTTTAGGCAAATTTTTAGTAATTTTATGCAAACGTAATGCAAATTGTGGTGAATTTAGTTAAATTTTTAGAAATGTTATGTAAACGAAGTGCAAATTGTGGTGAATTTAGTTAAATTTTAGTAATTTTATGTAAACGAAGTGCAAATTGTGGTGAATTTAGTTAAATTTTTAGTAATTTTATGTAAACGTAATGCAAATTGTGGTGAATTTAGTAAATGTAATGCAAATTGTGGTGAATTTAGTCAAATTTTTAGTAATGTTATGTAAACGTAATGTAAATTGTGATAAATTATAGTAAATTTTTAGTAATTTTATATAAACGTAATGCAAATTGTGGTAAATTATAGTGTATTTTTAGTAATGTTATATAAATTGTTGAAAATTTAGGAGGATTTTTCAGCAATGTTGTGCAAACGTAATGCAAATTGTGAAAAATTGTGGTTAATTTTGCATTTTTTCGGTAAATGTTAGCTAAATTTTTGAATAATTTAGTGAAATTTAGGATAATTTCGGATAATTGAGTGAAAATGTTTTACCGATTTTGAACAATTGAGTGTAAACAGTATAAATGCAACATTTTCGGAGACAATTTAGTGAAATTTTGCAATAATTTTGGACAATTAAGTGAAATTTTGCAATAATTTCGGACAATTGAGTGAAATTTAGTAATAATTTTAAACAATTTAGTGTAAACGTTATAACAATTTAAAACATTGATTTAATAATTTTACATAATTTATTACAATATTATTTATTAACAAATGCACAATTATTATTTAA